CTCTCTCTCTCTCTCTCTCACACACACACACACACACACACACACACACACACACACATATATACATACACACACAAATAATGCTTTTTAAGTTATTGTTTTGTTTTTGGTAATTTAGAATGCTTGATAATATAAGTAGGAAAGTTGGCAGTCTAAATTTTTACGTACAAACTTCAAAATGCTGATACCGCCAAGTTTGCAGAATACTAAAACAAATTAAGAAATAATTCAGTTCAGCAATCCGAGAGTTCAGTCAACAGTAATAGGAATGCACTTGTGTGGTGGGATCGATAGGGTATGATCAAGTGGACATTTAATATAGTCGTTCGAATGATGAACACCTGCGCCTGTGGTGTAGCGTAAGGTGTTTCGCTGCCGCAAGCAGGAGAGCCGAGTTTGATTCCCAAATGAGAAGGAATTTTTTATCGAATATCTCGACGGTCTTTCTGCCGGGATGTTGTATCCCTCTCTGCCTGGGTTGACCTTGACAGGCAGGGTCGAAAGACCGTCTCCTAAATTATCTGAACTGTGTCGCTGGGGGTGTGAAAACACCTTGTTATTTTATTATTTCTAAGAGAAAAGAATTATTAACATCTGTGGGGACACATGGTGTTAGCATCTTTAATACTTGTTTGTTGTTTGTTTGTTTGTTTTGTTTGTTTTGGGTTTTTTTATTGGGGGGGGGGGGGTTAATTCGTTAGAGAAAAGGGATAAGACAACAGCTCAGACAAGGATTTTTCTTAAAGTACTCTTAAGAGGTCTGTCGTAATTTTGGAGAAAATAATTCGTTCTGGAGTTAAAGTAACTTGTTCCTTTGAAATCATCCAGCCCGCCTAGCTAAGGGACATAATCGAGATATTTAAGGTTTTGCTCACTTTCGCAAGAAACGATCTCTGTGCAAAAGGTAAGTGGAAGTTTGAGAAAAGACCTGTAGTTATTATAGTTCGTAATGCTAACTTGGCATTGTGAAGCTCGGCCTGCAAATACTCTTTTTCAAAGAAAAGGAAGGAGTATAAT